TACAAAAATAGAAAAAAATAAGTACCAGTTTACATTATTATAATAAACTATAAACACAACGGTGGGAGACATGCATGTGATTACCTAAACACCGGTGTCAATACTGGCACTACTCTCAAATCCTAAAACCAAACCCAACATCAGTCCTCCCCTTTTCAATCTGTATAGAGAATGACAAGGATACACCGCTGCAAAACCAAAGTTCAGGTCTACAAAATCGTGCCAGAAGTCACACCACCATTATATCTTTATTAAAGAAATAATAAATGTTCACCTAGATTTTGATTGCTGTGTCATATAGTATAAATACAAATTGTGTAATATAAAATACAGTCTAAATTAAATAATTAATTATGATTACAATAATAAAGTATCATAGAGCAGACTCATCTCCGCTGGCAGCACCCGTTCACGAGCATGACGCATGAACCAGCCATCGCTTCGCTCTACCATATTTTTGGGAACGCAACGACCCGCCCCACACGACACCGCCAAAGAGATTTTTAAGAGAGCATGACTACCCATTTGACAAGAGTGTATCTTTGTCATAACTCTATACAAAATGAAAAGGAGAGACTGATGTTCAATTTAGTTTTAAAATATTCCAAAATCAACAGAAAAAGTTATAAATGTATAGTGATTGGAATACAGAAATTATTGCAAAAACTGGCACACCAAAATTTTCATGGTATGTTGATTTTTAAGTAAAATACAATTTTCTTCTATGTTGTAGTTTATTTTACTAATTATGTCAATAAAATGAGCCAGTAAGTTAGAAATACAGAACGGGTTTGGCGGGTTTAAAACACCTATTCCTTAATGACTTGCCTTAATCCCTTAGTGAACCAAATGTCATTTGGAGAACTCAAATTTCGGCTGAAGATTGAAGAATTTCCATCAAAGAATAATAAAAATATATCGTGTTTAGTATTTCATTCAAACATTTCTTCATATTTAAGTGTAAATGTAAGAGGAAGAACATTAGCACAGGTTCCCCTAGTTTAAAATAGATTGTTTTGACCATCAAATATAATTGTTACTTAATCTTTGTTTAATAGAACAGAATATTCGCTACGTCCACACAATTCTAAATCACAAGAGCGCGGACGGCATTGAGTCGAGGTGGCGTGGCCTACTTGAAGGTAACGGTACTCCGAGTCCTGACTTGTACCACCGCCACCGACGCGAATATCTTCGCTAATTAGCCTTTTACGTATTATGAGAATTTTCAACCTTGCTCCATTAACATACCCACTGCTTGTGTAATGCTACCGAAATACCAGTTTTTTTTGCCTTCTTATCACAGATCGCGGACATCAAGACAAGAGAGACGGTGCAAGATCAAGGATCAACCGAGTATTTTATCCCCTCTGTAAAATATGCCACGAATTAAGTACCTTCGGTATGTTTAGAAAAAGTTCTCTGATATACCTATAGATACTCCTTTACTCTATCCTTGCTTATTTAATTTTGTACGGTTCTTCGATAATATTCTGGTCTATACGGATTTAGGATTTTTTTTAAAGATAATTAAACTAATACATCATTTAGCCAGAGCGAAGGTTGGACCTCGACCGAGAAGCAAAGAAATGTGCCTTCTTTTATATGAGGCGCAGAAAAATTACCCCGCCCTACTAGATGTTGAGTAGGAGTTTAGCATGTACTTAAGTCATCCTCGCCTTGCCGGCCTGTATTCAATCTTACCCATGGAAACCTTAGGCCACGATCAGTTGTGGCCCGTAGCCGCGACCTGGGTCGCTAATATTACAGTCGGGCTGCGGCCAAGTTTGCTGCCACGACCATGACTGGTCGTAAAGCGGCCAAATTGCTGTTCATCTCTGTATGTCTTTAATGAATAACTCTGTATCAAAACTCATTTTAAAATTAATCTGGTCGTTGCGGCCACTGGTTGCGGTTTGGTTGTCTAGTACGTGGGGTGCCTTGCTTACCTGCTGAACACATCAGCACTAAAGCATAGTGTTATTTCTCTGTGGTCTTCTGTGGAAGTTACTTCCATATGGGCTCTTTAATTAGACTCGAAAACCCCCACTTGGGGCAGCGGTTTGATTTTTAGTCCGGTTGATTGTAAAAAAAATATGTTTTTGTCGCAGTAGTCTGCTAACAATTTTGAAAGACGGCTTGACCGTTGATGGAAACCAGAGCTTCACTTCCCGAATGCTGCACATCCGACTTGTATACGACGAGAAACCTCTTTCTCAAAGTTGGACCACCACCATCATCTGGACTGTACGTCTGAGGTAAACGAAATGGTCGATAACTTTGAGTGGAGTATTCCCAATTTTAACTGGAGTGGGTACAACATGGACTTTCGACATAATTTTCTTCGTAGCCATGTTCATCTTTAGACCCACTCTTTGGGAAATACTGCTGAGATCTTCAAGCATTGTGTTCAAGTCTTCCAAGGTCTCAGCCATAAGTCGTACTCATCATCGCAAAAGCAAAGGCGTGTTAGGTACTCGCCATTGATGTTGATGCCACGTCCTTTCCAATCCAGAAGCTTGAAAATATCCTCCAACGCAGCAGAAAACAGTTTCGGAGATATAGCATCTCCCTGTCTCACGCCTCGTTGCAGTTGGATCGGATTAGACCTCTTTGATTCTGTAATCGGACTGACATAATGGCGTTTTCGTAAAGGTGAATCGACCTTAACACCTCGATATACCTGTAGTCTACTTAGCACCTTTGGAGAGACTGCAGCACCGCCCAGGTCTCGATCGCTTCAAAAGCTTTCTCGTAGTCCACAAATGCCAAGCAAAGTGGCAGGTTATACTCCACAGTTTTCTGTATAATCTGCCGAGGCGTATGAATGTGATCTGCGGTACTGAGGCCTTCCGAAAATTAATACATTAAGTATGAGTATTTTATAATTTATTTGTGTTTAAGGACATTATCCAAAACGAATTTGAAAACAGCTTGGATTCAACTCAAACATAGTCAAATTTAATTTTTTTAGATATTGAGTCAAATGTTGAGTTGCGTGCAAATAGTAAGTTTTAGATTTAGAAGGTAATTATTAACTAATATTTTAATAAATAACTACTATTAGGCCTGGCTCCATAGAAAAATAGACATTTTTCTATTAAGGCGAACGACGATAACTTTAAAATTAACAATAAATAAATAAAAATACATCGCACGCTTTTTTTTTCCGTGCATGAGGTTTTTTACAAGTGTAATTACATTGTTTATACATTGTTTTTAGAGTTGATACCTAGTTATAACGAAAAGACGGAATGCCACTTGTCCAAACCCACAAAAGTAGTGCAACAGATGGTAAAAACTGAAAATTGAAAGCTTCGTGTACATAATCGTCGTAACGTTTATTTAGAGACAGCATTGAATGTTGCAAACAAAAGAGGGGGTTATCCTACCTAATTGAGAATGCGTGGGAGACTTGCTGAATGCGTATAGTGCACGGGGCAACCCGTAACATAATTACGCTGTGTGATGGTACTAACTTACCTTCCAGTGCTAACGGGAGCTTTCCATCTCGGCCCGTGGGGTAACGGGATCGCTCCCTCGGATTTCAGTTTCGAACTCCTTTCGATTTCGTGTGTTGTGTCGCCCGACCTCCTCCTCTGGCTTGCGTCACCTCTGTAATCGAGTTTTAGAAAATGAAATTCAGCACGTCCGTGCACTTCTTTATATGGTTTGGTTATGATCTTGGAACCCCGTTTGCGGCACTATTATGACACGTGGCCACATGCTATGACTGAATCTAAGATGTCTTTATATGATTGTTTTTGTATGAAAAGAGCCGCACGTCTAGATGTTTTCAATTTTGTTTATATGAGAGTTAAATTGCTGTTATTAGATATGTAAATCTTTGGTTGTCTTGTTTTTTTTTTTAATTTTAATAATGTACAATTGAGTACCTACAGTTTTATTTTAATATAATTCAGGTACTCCGCCTCGAAAATTTGTGGATCATTTTTAAATGTCTAGTTTTTTTGCTTTATTTTTATGCAGTATTTGCCCCGTAGTTAATTTACTGAAAACAGAGAACCTCAAACATGTACTGAATCATAAGATTGTAGACAAATCACTTTAAGCAGTGTAAATGTAGGTACTTACATACTATTTCTAATTTATGACAAACAAAAATTTATAAAATATCTTGTTATATAAGTGGTTAATAAAACTTAGGAATCACTAAGGAAGTAAAGGAGATATTATCTTTCTTCTTTGTTTTTCTTTCATCGATACCGGTTATTCAAGAACTTAAGCTTGTTTGTGTCCTATATTATATGCCTGTTATGTGATTATCAATCAGTAATTTATATCCGAGGAGCTCGATGGCGCGGGTGGTTATAGTATCGCTACATGGTAGGTATGACCTATGTATCATTGCAGTCATAAAAACAAGTAAGTATAGAAAGAAGAAAAAGTAAAATTATTTGAAAATATAATACATTTTTTTAATAATATGTACTCACATGAAAGTCGGAAAGCAAAATTCGAGTAAAATATACTAATAAAAATAAATTTTATAAAATATGTTAAATAGCGAAATCTTAATATTATGTAATGGCAAGTTACACAGGTTCTTAAAAGAGGAGTGCACGTCGATTTTTTCTTTATCTTCTTCGACAGATTTTACAAAAATATAGATATTCTTATACCTATTATGTTACCTAGTAACATCAGGTATAGCTATTAATAAGATATGTCATATTTATCCCAAGGTTGGGATTTCAAAAACCTCTAAAAATTACCAATAACATTATACCGTTAATTTTCACTTAAACCATTACGAAACAAATTATATATAACCAGCTTCAAAAAACTAGTCGCCAAATTAAACTAATGTAAAAAATTAACTTAGCACCTACAATAGCACAGAGTAACTACGAAAGTAATTTTGTGCTTTAGAGATTAAAAAGCAATTTGGCATCAAGATTCGCGCGCAAAAACTAATCAATGACCATCTCCGCGTCCTCAAAAGCCTCGCAAGGCATGCTATTTTACATCATCAACAGCGACTGCGCCATTTTCCGAGCGCGCATGCGAAAATATTCCGGGAGTGAGGGAGACAACGTCGTCCAAGGCGTTTGTCAGACAAGGACGGGTGACGATACGCTGCTGCCGCTGAGGTCAGGGAACCACAAGTGGGTCGGCTGCGGCTCCATCCTTCCTTAACCATGTCTCCATCGGTGGCTGTTGAACTTGGGCGAACGAAACACGGTTTTCGAATATGGAACGCAGTTTGGGTTTCTTTTCATACGACTAATGATATGCGCAAACGCTGACTTGTCGCTTAACGTCATCCTCAATGGCGACAGTCGCTCTATTCTCGATAGGTATGCTCTATCGAATGTTTTTGAATGTAGAACAATAAACTAGGATACATATATGCGTATTTAAAAAATACGCTATATTTGTTATACCTTTTTTTTGAAGATCGATTTGGATTAAGCAATATTTTTCAGAGACATTCTGAAAACTTCATCTTATCGAATCCGGAATCGTTTCAGATTGTTTATAAAAAAAGACATGTTCCTTTTCACACATTTCCGAATGCTGCCGATATTTTCAGTTTCATTTGGCTGGATGAAGTCAAATAATTTTTTCACCATTGCTTTTATAATTTTCCACAATTATTCTTTTTATTATTGTCACAATGAGATAATTCTAAAGTGAGAGATAGAGCATAGTGGATTTCCTGCTCGAATTGGAGCACCTGTCTGGGGAAGTAACCTCCACCTTACAGTAGATCACAGTAAAATAATATTACCTTTTGGTGGTGTTGTGTTTCTGTTGATGAGTAAGGTTCCAGGGCTCTGCGGGGTAAGGGAGAGAATAGGCAACGATTCGAGTGATATTTTCGATATCACAAGCGTTTATATAGACCATGGTGGCCGCTATACGCTAATTTGCTATCCTTTTCACATAGAAAAGTGGTCTATTTTGTAACAGATAGGTTCGTATACCTATAGAACAATCCTATGGGATAGATATTCTTAACTTATCGCACTTTAAGTTGAGCTTGAGTCAGGAGCGCCGAATTTGCTCTCTGTAAAATTAAATTTTCGAATTCAAGTCTCGAATGACGCAACAGCCAAAATGGTCAACAGCGGTCATTTCACTTTGGCCAACTTACACGCTGGACTATCGCCCGTCCCTTTCTAGTTGGCTCCAAAATCACGAGAAGAAATGAAACGTTGTTATGTTAAGACAGCTATCTAAATAAGTAATGCCCTCGAGCCTTCCGTGGGCCCCTCAAAACTTGAACGATGCATAGATACCCCGTCGACCGCTTCGACAACGTAATCATCTTCAATCAATATTGTGGTAAATAAAGTCGTGACCGAGAATTTTGTAATTTATGCTACAATAAATAGAGTTATAAATTACTTATTACAAACAGATAGTACCATAGACCTCATCACATATATAGACCTCATCCTTCTACCTCGGAATCAACGAAGATGCAAGTATCTATGTAATTTAGTGATTTAGGAATTAGGAGTCTTTACACAACAAAAACTGGTTTTGTTAAGCACAAACTGGAGCGTGAGTATAAAGTTATTAGGCTGCGTTTCCACCAGAGATGTGCGAGGATGCATAGCGAGGGATGAGTTTGTAAAGAACCAATAGAATCGCTTCATTTACCTCGCCTCGGTCAGCACAGCTCTGGTGGAAATGGCTCAGCAGAGCTAGATTTTTGCGCATACAAAACAAGCGAGGGATGGGTGCGAGGGATGTGTACGAGGGATGTGTGCGAGGGATGTGTTGCGAGGAATATGTGTTGCGAGGTTTGCGCATACTGTACCACACATTAATGCGCATTTTCACAGCTCCGCTACACATCCTCGTAGGCACATTTTCATCGCACAGCTTTGGTGGAAATCCCCACACATTTTCACAGCACAGCTAGACATCCTCGCACGACACATTTCCATCGCACATCTCTGGTGGAAACGCAGCCTTAATGAATGCTCTTAAAATCTATATATATAAAAATGTTATGTTTGTTTGTGTACGCTTCAAAAACTCAAAAAGTTCTGCACCGATTGAGTTGAAATTTTAACATGATATAAAATCCGCATCAAGGATTGTTTTTATCTATTTTTGCATCAGTCACATATCTGCAACCGCGAGAAAACTGTTTTTTTAACGATCAGCTGTGTACCAGTGACCGCGCCATCTGCCAGAAGCGAGGAAAACACTCGCTGACAACCGCAATAGTAATGACGCAGTCACATGAGAAACAATTTCGTTCCCAATTACATTGTTTATTTACAAAAAAAATGCATCTGATTCTGATTATTATACAATCTGAATTAAATATTCACTTAAATCAAGAATTTTTGGTGTGATAGTGTTATGATCGAACTGCGCCTTTCACCAAATCGTAAGTAGAGGTTATATTTTATATGAAAGATGGACAGTAAAAATATTATTTTTTTGCAATTATTATTTATTTAATATTAATTAATTAAATAAATAAGTAAAATATTAGTTAAATAATTAATCAATAACAAAACATATTTATTATTGAAGTGAATCTTTTTTAATATACGTGTTCAGGAGTCGGCAAACCAGAGATAGTCTTTATATCTACGCAGACAGTGGAAAAACAAAAAATATTGTATATCCACAAGTATTGCAAAATTAAACTTATATGAAATGTATTCTTTGTTTTGTTTCTCATTTCTCAACCATTCAATCACAATGTGCCACTGCGAAGCGTGGCAGGGTACAGCTAGTAACTTATAAAATTGCAATTAGTGATTAAGTACTATTCCAAATTCAAACTCATTTATTCAGTCTAGGCTGTTACAAGCTCTTGTGAAAGTCAAACTCTACGCCATCGGTTCGTAAATCTACGGCGGGAGACCTTGTACTGAGAAGAACCGGCAAGAAACTCAGCAAGGGCTATTTTTTTCTCCCTGTTTTGTTTCATTCAGTGTCGTCAATTGAAAGATGACATTAAAAATTGAAAACGTGTGTTGATGTCAACTTTCATCACATTAATATTATTAATTAACAATACCTTAAGTATAGCTAGGTATACTAATTATAAATTTAGAAGTGGCGATTAAACAATCTTCAACAAAATTAGCAAAGTAAAGGTGCCTTATCATTTATGAAATCTTTAACAGTATAGTTACCTTTCTTAACTTTTATACAAAGTTTAAACTTATTAAAAGGTAAATTAATTATTTCTTTTGGTATTTTATTATAGTAACATATACCTTGACCCTTAATGGACCTTTTGGAGTCTCAACGGTGGCAATTTGAGTTTATCTTTATTTCTAGTATTGAAATTATGTACATCATCGCGCATATTGGATTCAATACTGTGGAACACATAAGCATTTATATACATTTACATTTGGCCAAGGCAAAGGTCAATGATGGTTGTTTGATGAACAGCTTTACTCGTATCAACATGCATGCTTTAATAAAAACTGTATTTTTTTTTATATTTCTAGAAAGAGCCTGCTAGAAAATTCCACTCGGTCCGGATACGGGATTTGAACCCACATTCTACACTATCCGGGTGAACTCATTCGCCAATTATACTACCGAGACCCTTAAAGTCATGTTGAATTTGTATTTTTTAGGCTGTAAAACCCGGATAGCGGAAGATGCGCTTTCCAACCCCGTCTGAAACCTGGCCGGAGTGAATTTTATTGTAGTATTTTTTTTTAGATTATGTCACCGAACAGCTAAATGCTAAAAATAAAATTATAATAATCTTCCTATTCTATGCACAAGGTAAACGTGGATCACCCCATTGCTGAGGTACCTAGTACATTTGTCAATGACTTGATGAATTAGCGCGTCTGCAGCGCAATATTAAATTTATGTAGAGCATAGCGGATTTTTTCTCCATCTGGTAAAGGACCTTTTCTTTACAGAAGATTACACTGAAAAAACACTACCTTTTATTAGGTTGTGTAAAGCAGAGGCTCATGCTTACTAATAGAACAAAAGAAGTTCGAATAGTACAGGTTTACTTTATGGAATTTGAAACAATCGTTCGTTGACGGTTTTACCAATTTTGCTTTCAATACAACTATTTTGTTTGTTGCCGACGAAGTAAAAGGATGGTCGATTGGAGTTTTGTCTTCCACGTAACTGTCGTTGTCAGAATGAGCGGAACTAATATAATGCGTGCATTCTTGTCAATACAGTTAACAACAATATGAATTATATTGCCCTATGAAATAGAAAGTCAGTGTTAGCGAAAGTCCCTTTTGTGTCCTGCGCTTTTCAAAAGTCAAAAGACCTTTGAATAACAATAAGGTTAAACCGAGAGGCCTTCTGTTCACAGGCAATTCACGCAATAATAAAATCCTTTGGGTTCCTCTGTCAAGATGCGTGAAGCAATAAAACAAAGTGTCTAAATAAACTATGCTTTCGCTTTTCTTCCAACGAATTAAAACAAAACCAAAAAACTACGTCTTCTACCGAGCTGTTACTCTGGTTAAACCCTGTTGTGGTTTGTACCGATTGTATGGTTATTGCGGTATAGTGACGCTCAGTACAACTGTTATACATAGCACAGAAACCTCTTGAAATTTACGATAATTAAGGAATAGCAACCTTTTTCGAGGTAGATAGCAGTAAAAATAAAGGGTCTCCAAACGCCAAGAAGTATGATTTTTTATGTTAAAAGAAAGGAAAACAAGGGAATGGCCTGCTTGGTGGTAAGACCATATTACCTGTCACGCAGGCATGTGTGGTTTGGTGGGTGCTAACGACAGCAGGCACGCCTAAATCTTTGGACCCGGCTTCATTCGGCGATAAGAGAGTTAGAAAATAGTTAGATATCGGCTATTTTCTCGCTCAAGAAACGTATGACAGATAAACATTCCCCACCTTATTAATAAATGAGGAATTAGTATAGACTAGTTACCCTGTGTTTTGTTCATGTCACTCAAAAGCCATTTGTCATTCAATAGACACAGACAAAACTTGGAGTAACTAATCCCAGCGTAGTCTTCGTTTATTAATAAGGAGGTCCGTGTAAACAATATAGATGGATATATTAACAGTTGATCGCTGGCTGATCACACTGCCGGCGAGAACTGGCTCACCTAGTTTGTTGTTGAATGACACGGGCTGTCTAGATATACTGGCTCAGCGATGCATTTTTTGGAGGACTGTCACCACGAACGAGAGGTGCG